CCTCACAACTGGCTATCAAAATTTCGATGGATGAAAAATGAATTTGAATCTGTAGAGTTTAAATGTTTAGAAAGTCATAATGTAATTGCTTGTTTAGGTGGTACACACAACTGTAATCTATTTAACGTTTTACTTGTCTTGATGTTTGATTTCCATCAATGCATTAAAACAATTTTAATGTTTAAATGTTTCTGAAATCATCACTGTTATATACATGCATGCGCGCTCCTGTTTGTTTGTTTGTGTGTGTGTGTGTGTGAGAGAGAGAGTAAATACAACAGTAATTTCGACAGCAATCTAGAACAGGTTGTAGTCACTTAAAAATTAGAAGAAACGTTAACTTTAGTGTTTTCTTCTCGTTAGGTTTTCTGTGGTAGCAATGACTAATGTCTGAAAAATTGAATGGCCGATATATAAACTATTGAGGCCAGAATCTACTGCCGAAGCCATTTATTCGCCATTGCCTGATCACAATATTCATTCCTCCAAGCATTGTTGTATTAAATTACAAATTGTTGGATATGGAGACAAAATTATGTGAGAAACGGAACTGTACCTTGATTCAGCATCGGTTCCACGAAACAAAAAAGTATATAGCATGATATTATGAGGAAAAATTAAAATACATATACTGTCTATCTTAGAACGACGACATTAAGCACAATATGAAGCGCCGCAGCGGACAAAAGCTGGTCCTATCAGAATGTTGCCATTGATATTTTAATGTCATATGTTCGGGCTTCAAATATCACGTGTTGTATCAAAACTGCTTGTCCTAAAAGTTCCGTTTTCTGGGTCGAGATTTAGATTGTGTCTATTGCATTAAACAGTAGTGGTTGAAAGTTATATTTTCTATGTCGAGTTCTAAGTTTGTATCATTTGAATTTCATGGCGGTGGTTGAAATTTCAATGTCGATAATTCCTAATTTACGCACTGGTTCAAAGAGTTCATGTTGAAAGTTCCATTTCAAATACTGAGTATTTAGATATAATCTGCTGAATTACACAGAGCTGCTTGACAATTTTATGTCCAATGTCGAGTTTTTAGACTGTGTCTTCTGAACTACACGCCGGTTGTTGAAAGTTTAATATCATATGTCGAGTTTGAATTTAGCATGTTGAATGACAGTGATTTTGTTGAAAGTTATAATTCATATGTTGCGTTTTTAGATTATATCTGTTGAATTACAAGGTTGTGGTGGGACATATTTTTGTACTTGTCAGAAGTTTTTTTTAAATGATGAAATGATGTGTTGGTGTTAAAAATAATATTACACAATGTTCACTCTAATAATTCAGAGTAATATCGAGTATTAAGATAAATCATTCATTTACTCATTTATGAGGCGCCATTACATTTCATGCATTACTGTTTGAATGTGAACATTCACAGATGGGGAATTACTCTGAATGTCTTTGCTAGAGGTCGATCTTGTTAATGGAAAACATTATTTTTAAACAAGGATTCTGCTTCTTGGACTTTGAAATTCAACAGATGAAATCTAAACTGCCACAGTGTGAAATTGAACTTCCATCACAAACAGTTACATACAGCTTGTTAATTAGGTATTCTCGGCATTAGCTATTGAAATTTCAACCACCGCTGTGTAATACAAAGGAAATAGAACTTTAATCCACCACACATATAATATATAAAGTCCAGATCTAGAAAATTGAACTTAAATGACTTTGATCCAACACGTGATATTATATTTCTCGAAATACGATATCGAAATTTCAATTGCAACTTTCTCATTGGACCAGCTTTTGTCTGCTATGGTGCCTCATAGTAAAATAGAATAGCTTCAAACTTCTACTGAGGCAATATAACATTTGCATGATATCCAACCGATTTCAATTATTTACAATTACTTATTGATCGAAAAATAGTACATAATTTATTTCTTTATCTTGACGATACAAAGAAGTTTTAATGAGGTGTCAGTCGACATCTTCTCAAATTAATTCTGCGATGCCAGCTGATAATTGCCTGATCAATAAATATGTCCGTAACAACTGCACGCTCTCGAGAAATTGCTTTGGTTGATTACTGTTAATTTATAATTACATCGCGCATAAAGCAACTGTTTTTGATGTTTCATTATGGACACGACGCGTTGCATATAGACGAAATTACTAAGAAACATGATTATAAATCTTATCACAATATTCCACCGAAATTCTTTTGCATTTAAAATGCACTGCATGTTTCTCAGATAATCCACGACAGTTGTGGTCGTTCAACTCAATTTTAGAAGCTGAATTTTGTTTTGGAAACAATAGAACAATTGACATGTTGAATAGGAAATAATATAAGATATTATACAAATGATTGTAACCATGTTCGTCACATGTTTAGAAAAGTGAAATACTGGCTGATGTCTGTTAAATATGCTTTTTTTATTCATGCACTTCCATCTAAACAAAGATTGTAGACTCTGGCTTTTATTTATGAAAATATGTTCAGCTTGGTATCAATGTTTAGAGTTATGAGTTGTTTTAATTGTTGTTTTAGTTTTTTATAATATAAAATATAAGATCTTTGTTTTAGAAAATTAACAAAAATCCGTTAATGAGTATCTGCTTTTGCTTGGCATTTCTAGTGATTAACTGTTTTCCGACAACTCAACGAAATAAAATAAAGTTTTGAAACAGACTGTAACGTTATAAAATATATCATTTCATATAAAGAATTTTTATTTATGTTTAAAGTCAAGAGAAATAAATGTGTTTCTCTTACTGTAACTCTATGATCAAACTTGCATGTAAGTCTCTGGGCTTAAATTGCGATGAAAACAATGTCTGCACAAATGTATTGGTGTGCATCAAAGACGCACATCATGTCAGCAAAAATGTATTGGTGTGCACCAAAGACGCACATCATGTCTGCAAAAAATGTATTGGTGTGCATCAAAGACGCACATCATGTACGTAAAAATATTTTGGTGTGCATCAAAGACGCACATCATGTCTGGTTCAGTTGGGCAAAGCACGTTCAAAGTTTATCACTTGTAGATTTTGTTCGTTCATGTTGGGCAATGAGAGTTAGGTGTCATGTTTAAAGACAAGATAAGACTTTGTTTTAGTTAGATTGTAAAGTTTAAAACATATGACGTATATAATTTAAAGAACAGGAATAGTATGTATAATGTTATTACATAATGCTTAATTGGGATTAAATAATTTTGAAAATACAATCTTCAAACCTGCTGCAAAAATTTGTTTAGAGTGTACGTGACATGTATTAATTAATTGATTCTATTTATAAACGCTAGTCCTAGAAGATATTAAGAGTATATTGCATGTCATCACGGTTATCTGCATTAGATAGAACAAACCAACCGACCCTGTCTTATCTTGCGTGATAGGTTTGTACTGTATCAAAATCATTACAAAAGCAGAGAATATGTATCAGCGAAAATATCCGACTAAGGAATGGTTATTTAATTGCAGAAAAAAATCAAATAACCTTAATTTTATAAGAAACACAAAACTAAAATTTGATAACTAATATATTTTCATTTAGCTTGCTGTTTATGTCCTTCGCTATTTAAATAAACGTTGATCTTAGCCTCATATAATATGCTACTCCCACTCATGCTCCTACCATTTCGCAAATCTTGTCGAATATATCATAGCCTGAAGGCTATTTTATACCATTGATCATCTAAATTTTGTACATTAACTTTATGATAACCGAGCACGTTGACTGTATCTATATAATCACATATTGAAATCTCAAATCAAAACAGGTTTAGAAGAGCCAGATTGTGGTTGTAAGCTCAGATGCATTACATGTGACATCAGCTATATATTGTGACTAGGCAAAATATAATTTTAGATTTTTGTTTTTCCTAAAATAACTTATATATATATATATATATATATATATATATATATATATATATATATATATATATATATATATATATATATATAAGTCGATTGAAATTAGTTGTGATGCTTTCACATTGAATTAACTCAATTGGTTAGATTTGTGCCACTGCCACAAAGCTGTAAATACTGATTGGAGGAAACCATGCTCTTGGATAATTGCATTATATATATTTTCGATTGCATTTACTGCATTATTCTATTACAATGGCTGTAATGCAGAATGAGAAAATGTTTCCAAATACCTACGAGGAGAAACTCAGGAAAGCATTACTTGCAATACAAGGCCAGTGATGGACAAGGTGTCACGTGACAGGCTAGTAGGGCAAGCAACATAACTGAGCAGAAATAAATAGCACGCATCTCTTTTATAAATATACAATGAATCTTACATATATTTTACGAATATATGCAATTCTTAAATTAGTTATAGATGCATTCGCATTTTAAAGTATCTCGAAATAAAACAAACGCCTAATTGTTCACTACCACAGTCCTTCATAACACCAATTTAGTCTGATTTCATTCCATTTTTCGCTCGGGAAAATTGATTTATTCTGGAAGAGAAAATCAATATCTACGTTCCAGTTTTAAACGGATCAAGATGTTTTCATTCTGGAAGATGTCTAAAGCTTCGCTGTGACTTACTTGTTGTAGCTATGGATACCAATTATAGTATCGATCTTAAAAATCCATCGAAAACCATCAAGTTCAGCAGAATTTATTATTTGAAAAGTAGTATACATAGTATATGACATTCAAAAATTATATTTTGATAATCAAACAACAGAGAGATACTCTGTGAGACGACGAAGATTATATGGCTTAACAACTAAAGAGTGGACTCACGGCATCCATACTATATTGTACATTTCAAAGAAGATTGTGTGTGCGCGCACGATTTGGATTTGTAATAAATCTTTAACACATTTTTAGTCATATCGCTTCGATGTCTGAAGTGTGGCAGTTTATAGTGATGTCTGGCACTAAGGGCATCATGTCGCAGACATCTAGCATGATATCCCACCCCGTTCTTTCAGTCCTAACACTAACCTCTAATGCTGCGATTAAAGAGAGACAACGGCTAGTGCCACACATGTAAGTCTTTGTTATCTCTCAGCGAGGTTAGAACCCGCGACCTGCAGCATTTGAGGCTGATGCTCTAACCACTAGGCCACCGCAGCGGTCTAAAAAAATAATATATGTATGTATGTATGTATGTATGTATGTATGTATGTATGTATGTATGTATGTATGTATGTATGTATGTATGTATGTATGTATGTATGTATGTATGTATGTATGTATGTATGTATGTATGTATGTATGTATGTATGTATGTATGTATGTATGTATGTATGTATGCGAACGTGTGTGTGTGTGTGTGTTTGTGTGTTGTAATCCCTCTAGACTGTCCTTTAATGTTTCCGCTTTTACAAACGTTAATGCATTTGTGTTGGGTTCACGTGTGTTCTGAAACAAATGTTCATAAGCTACAGACTAGATCTTACACCGCCAATTCGATGTTTACCTTCCCGTTTTGAACTCAAGCTAGGTAAGCAATTTATCTTTGATGGCCACCGTAAAGACTTTACTAATTTTAATTACAGTGCTCTGCGTTTCCTCGAAAATTTCCTAGTAGACACGTATCCGTTTATGCAAAATTAATGAAATTAGTTTTCTGGTGGCAACGGCCACAGCTGCAACAATAAGAATTAAGACTGGCTTGAATATGATAGTTATTGTTGATTAATTCAAGGGAGGACAAGGTCAACGGTTTGTTGTGGGGAGTCCAAAAGGATGCATGTTTGACAGCACAGACGGGTTATATTCCGCGAAGATATTGTTTTGTTTGTTTCTTTGTTTGTTGATTTGCTCTGTTAAACCGCTTCAGTTATTTTATATTGTCGATATCCTGGCAATTATGAGAGTCCATTGCATTTCTTCACGCACTTCTAGCCAATTACTTTTCCTCCTTTGAATAATGACATCCAATCATATATAAAATCTTTCTGAGGAACATTCATGTCTCAGGCCATTGTGCGTTCCGAAAGCATGCCACCACAGTCACCTACACCTACGCAGTTTGCGTCCTCATTTTGTGCCGCAAATGACTGATATCATTTTTGGAAACTGCTTGACGGAAAAGATCGTTATTTTTGAATACCAATCGAGTTTGCTTTTTATCATAGTTGTGTCAATGTTGGGTGAACATGCCTCTTTATAAAATTTTAATTGTCGGTGAATATCACATCATCACTGTAAAGATAATCGCTGTACATTTTCAAGCACAACGGTGGTGCATGAAGTGTAACCGCCATCAAACTTTCGTTCGCGATGATTCCTAGCTGATCTTGAGATGATACTGTAATAAATCTAGGAAATGCGCCATTTTTAATTCTCTATTCTATAATATTTGTAGATTTTATGATTAGTTGTTTTTTATTAATGGGAGTAGATGTTGGGGAAATATTTCTTAGCCCCAGTAACTAGCCAATTTCTAGGGGCAAGGAGCAGTATTGGTCAGAGTTTATGGTGACATAGTTGAGTTTCGTAGATGAGTTCAGGTCAGAGGCGAAAAAGTGGACATTTAGCCAAATAGTTCCTATTTAAATCCAAAACTTTTGATTGGTTGCGTATTTCCAACTGAAATATTTGTCATATGGACTGATAATTTTTACAATGGAATAATTGACATGGGTTTGGTCCATTATCGGGAGCTTCTTTTTTTGTTGCTTTGAAGGTAAATGTGGTGCAGTAATACAGGTGATGTCAGTCTAAAAATCGTGATTCGACTAACCCAGGGATGGAGTAGGAAAATAGTTACCTGTATTGGGTGTTTGAATTATATTTATATTTTCATTGTGTTAAGTAGTGACGCTATGTTACAGAATCTTATGAAGGATAAGCCATGTAATTGCAAAATTGTGATGTAAGTGTAAATTTGGGATATTTTGTGGTTACTGATTGATTAGAGCGAAATTATTTATATTCTTGGCGCGTTATTAGAACTTCCAGTTGCCAACATCATTTGTATAGAAGTCTTTTTAAATGGGGGAAAACGGACTTCGGGGAGAACTCTCGCGAGCATTTTATTCGCTTGGTAAAGAGACCCTTTTGCTTATAACAATATTGACATATTAGGGTGATTTCAAATATCAATTGTGCTACCCTGGGCGACATTATATTTGATTGTATTATATGGACTGTTCGTTGACTAGTGGAACAAAAACTATCGACAATGTTGGTAAGCTCTCCCAGCTAACCCCAAAATGCATCTATATAAACTGAAACTGCAGTGTATATCAAGTGATTGGTCTTTAAATACTACTTTTCAAAAAAGGTCAATATTATTTATGGTCGGTATTTATCAGCTGTGCCTCTATTTTTAAAACAATGTTAACCTTAAATGAACATGTAACCAAATATGTTTGAAGCTATTTTCTCATCGGAATCTGCCTCACAGGGAGAATTTCTAAAGTCTAATATTCCAGCTTGAACACAGCGAATACTAAGTGACCCCTAATGAAGAAATATAATCATGATCAAGTAGTAATGTGTCTAATGATGTTTCCATGTTGAAACCAATGATTATTTGCATGCGATACAGTTAATCCCTCAAAGGCTTCTTCTGTGTTATCATGTGTGATGACAAAATTTGACAAGTTTCTGTGATAATATCATTTTAGGAGCCACGAATATGACATCAAGTTTCAATTGCTTACTGATTTTTCACATTTATTTAATGTTTTGTTGCAGGATCGATAGGATATTGCCATTTCAAAACATCACTTAATGTTTGTGGTAGCGTAGTCAGAAATGAATCTTTGCTTTCCTCAAGTGAACGGAATGTTTCAATGACGAGATGTCTATATGTTGGACAGACCGTCTCAGTTTCCAACAACAGCGCTGAACTAAACAGCATAGGCAAAATTTCGCTTCTCGAGATTAATCGTCTGCGTAATTAATCGACTACTTCCCGTTACGGTGCAAGACTGTATGAGTCAAACTAATGATGCATTGAAGTTAACGCAGATGCGATATAATGAGATCCAAGTCTATACATTTGGATTCAAGTTTGCGAATTTGGATCATTTATCCAAGTTTTTCTCACATAAAACTATTTACAATATTTGATATTGTGTTCACGAAAAATTTTATAAAAAAATGAAATTATTAATTGCGAGACAATAGGCTAATACTTCTTTTAATCGAGAGCCACATAGAAAATTCGCTTTTCGGTTGGATAACCGTATACTTTTTGGCTCCAACTCTGGCCCTGGTAGTCGAAGACCTTTTCCTTTTTTCTAGAGCCGTCTCCAGTAGCTATTTTATAGGGTAATCCCTGATGCGGTTTTAATGTAGCCTTTTTTGCAGTAAAATTGGCTTCATGGAAGCTACATAGAAATCTGCTTTCATTTGACAAGACTAACAATTTGGATGACAATCAGGGCTGTATTAAACAACAAGAAGCTGGATCAAAGCAATTACTGCAAGTGAAATGCGCGGCATGTCAGTTCTATTTAAACTTATCATCGCAGGCATATGATCCACGAGTGTTTCGGGGCCCCGAGTGGCAGAGTGGTCTAAAGCGATCTCCGTTACAGATCACTGACATCTTACCTCTGTCGTCGTGGGTTTGAGTCTAAGATTCGTCGAATGTGGACATGTGAAAAAGTTTCCAGTAGCTTCTTGTGGGTCGGTCGTTCTTTCCAGGGACTTCCCGGTTTCTTCCTCCACCATTAATGCCGGACGCCATGTATAGCCTTTCGCGTGCTGCAAAATGGCGTTATGCCCCTGAACAACAACATCAACAACAAGAGTGTTTCCAAACTAGTCCTTAAGTTCTTGGACCGCATGCTAGTTTATAGACACAAAGTTTGAACCTTGCACGTCTACACCATCCATATGTTCCATCAAGACCTTATCCGCGTTTGGGTGGTTCCTTGGAGAGCAGATTTTTCTTTGGGACTCAAAGACTCCTACGGTAACGAAGTCTTCGTTAGTGTATCCAAGGTTGATCCGTTTATGCAACGAACATTTTCCAGGTATGGTTCGATCTTTCATATAACTTTGTTTCTATACATATCAAGGTCTTACCAATCTCCATCCATGTACGATTATTACTGGCTACTTTTTCAAGACTTTGATTTATGCCAGTGATGTGAATGAGTACTTGCACATGAATGCGTCCCACTCATTCGGCTAGTATATGGGTGCCTTTTGCGACCACCCCGAGATTCTCATTCATGTCGTCGATTGCGTTTATATTTACGTCTAGGTCTCTTAAGATTATTTCAATTGGTATAATAGTGTTTTTCTTCGTTTTTGCGCGCAAGCATGACTGGTGGTTTAGAAAGTTGAATTAAACCTGTTTCATATCTTCTCATGTTTTGTGTAGCGACTGAAACATATTTGTTATGTGTTCGAAGATAACTATGTAATCTCTGAGAAGCTCCAGGTAGTCGCAAGCACCCTTAAGACGTCAATTAGCACCCTGCAATTCCTGGACCTATCTCCCCCTCCAATAAGTCGTGAAGAAACGATGGCGGCCTCTGCAATCATATTCAAAAACTCATTACAAGTCCAATTAACGTACCAAATCTTCATGACTTTCCTGTTTACATCGCTACAGATGGCCGAGAACTCATTAACAATTACTCAGTGAAGAATTCGACCACTTTTCATCGTTATGATATATAACAAACAGCTTATATTTCAGTAAAGAGCGCGGCTACTGATGCAAGCATTGTAAGAGCTTTTTTATGGTATCATAAAGTTTTCGTCGGTTCCAGATATGCTTTGTCCAGCCCTGTATTGTATAAACAATCCCTGGTGGTTTAGTCAGCGACCGAAAGGGTTTACGTATTAATGATGCGAAGTCAATCTGGTGTCGGTAACGAACATTTCGTATGGTTGACAAAATTATTTTAAAGTTTCTTATTGTTTTCTTTTTCACCAGTAAAAAAGAAATAATAAATGTAACATTCTCTGTTAAAAATGTTATGAGTGAATAAAGGTAGAGAGATGTGTCTGGATAGCATAGGAAAGAACAATGTATACATTACGGGTCCAAAATAATGGAAAGATGGTATGATGACGCGCTTGGAAGTCCATATCCTGAGCCATCTATTGTATATGTTGTGTTGGGGTCCCGAGTAGCCGAGTGGTCTAAAGCGCTG